TCATGTGATCTTTCTCAAAACACTTTGCTGCTGGACCCCCATGCCCAGCCCTCAGCCCAAGGCAGACCATTCCTTCTGTCCATACCAGCTCACAGCCAGAGAGCGCCTGAGCCTCCTGCAGTGCCTGCTCCCACCCCTGCTTCTCCACAGCCCACCCACCTCTCACATGCGCATAGACTTTGGTACCTGATGGCGAGCCTCACTCAGTTTTTAGACTAACAGCAAATATCAGAAGCTGGATTCAGATAAGGTTTCCAAGGGGGTTGTTTTGCATTTTGAGAAATACAGTAGTGTCCGTGCCCTGCTGCCTGCAGCAGTTACTGATATTGTTAACTGAACACAATGTTAAAAAGGCAACACATTTCAGATAAGTGCCACTGAAGCTAGGTGCAAGCTTTCACATCATGCTGCTCTGTCAATAAAGCCACCTCCAACATCCCAACACACATCACTGCCAGCAGGCACCGACATTCACATACACGCTCTGTTATATTATCAGGCACCAAGGCTGATAAAAACACTCCCATTTTTAACCACTGTTGCTGGACCTCACTGAAACTAGCAAGACTTACCACCAGTATTTTGACAAAACAAAAACACAAGCAGGAAAAAAGGTAGAGATATACTATCACAAAAGCCAACTGACTGAAGAAAAAAACAAACCACAATTGCATCAGACAAGTAAGTATGGAGGTGGAAGAAAAATCTCAGAAGTGAGAATATTTAGCATTTAGAGGAATGAAATGAAGAAAATTAATCAGGTAGAATCAATCATCAAGTACATTGCTCAAAATGCTGGTAAAGAAAAAAAGTAGGAGACCAATTTTATATAGAAGGCTAAACAGAAAAGCTTTAGCTGGGACCACTGAGATAAAGTAAGGATGCATTTGAAAATACCAGAAGGAAAAAAAAAAAAGTTTAAAGGGAGGAAAATGCATTTCCCAGCACCTTGAGCACTTTTCATCTGTTTCTATAGAAAAAAACCAAACATTCCATTTCTTAAATGACGTGACCTAACACAGCTTTAATAACAACCACGAAAAGACTAAACTCTTAGGATCAATGAGAAGATTCCATTAACAAGGATTCAAGAGATCAAACCTCAAGTTTACTACTCTGTGTTCAGATTCATCTGTTATCTCAGTACAAAGTTGTTCTAAAACAAAGATTTAAAAAAGAAATCTATTTTTGTTTCAAACCTAACACCATTGTCGCTCACACTGACTATTTTGTATTAGCATACACAGCAAAGGTAGTTGGTATTTCTTTAACATCATGACATGTATATAATCACTTGCTATATTAATTTAAACAACCTCTTCCTATTTTTGATCAGAGGTGACTGTTTTCCCTAAAGCAAGGTCTTAATTTTCTCAAATAAAGATACTCCAGCATACGCAGAAGCCATTCTATTAACACAGCGCAAGCTGCTCCACTGTGGCCTGGTGCCAAGAATGGCTTTGCTCCGATTATCACAGCATTATGTCCTGCTCTATGCTAGTATGACTGATGTAATACAAAGAGGGTTTCTTCATCAAGCAGATTACATGGGTCACTTAAACTTTTTTGTACGACTGGGTTTTCTTTATCAATCATTAACTTTTTGTTCTTTTTTGTTTTCTAAATAATATATGCTAAAAAAAGCTGACACATTTGCAAAAGCACTCCAGTATTCTGCAATATTTTGTACACAATCCTTGTCTGTTTACACTTACTTGCAACATCAATTTTCATCACGGCTAGAAATATCTACTTCTCCAGAATCCATAATTTTCCAGGGTGTGCTATCAACCTTCTGCAGAATCTACATTTTTGTTTCAAAAACATACAGCTTTCTAACCCAGATGGCTACATCTTGCCATATGTGAACAAAGCATAAAACCAATGCTGTGCTGTAAATGTAGAGGCAGGCAGCTGCAGTATCTCTGATGCTCCTGGGATATATCTGGTTTTATACTGTTACTTTGACAAACAGCAGAGATAGATTGACAAATGTGGGCCAGTTCTGTCTCTCCTCCGCTTTGGAAAGCTCTCAGAAAAAGCTTAGATGCTTTTGTATGAGTAAGATCTGGGAAAGATGCTTAGAGAATTTCAGCTTTTTAGAAATATCATGGCCAATTTTGCAACAATTGCTGCTTTGAAGATATAAAGAAAGATACAAAACGCTGCTTTTTCTTCCAACAATTAGAATCTGTATTTGATGGTGCTTCAAAGATATTCCAGTATCTCTTACCTAGACAGGAGGCAAGACAGATAAAACTGGGGGGGGGAGTAACTTTCTCCTCCTCCCCCCATACTTAGGACAGGCAGAAAACACTGTATAGACACAGTTCTCTATTGCTAAGATGAAAAAGCAGAAGTGTAAGAGCAGAGGGAAAAATCCACCATGACAGTACATAATGAGGGAGGCATTGAGAAAAAACCAGGAGACAAAGAGAATCCATTTCTTCCTAATAACAAAAATTAGGC